GGCCTATTCCTGTTGACCCATTTCCACGGGGCTTATATAAAAGTTCCCACTGAACTGTCTTCCACTCTGCCACCCTTAACAATGTTCGAGATCCAACTCTGTTTGGGCTACCACTGGGTGCCTCTACTCTTGAGAAAGAGGGTGTTGGAACTGCACAAAGAGACTCCAAAATTGGATGATATTTAGCAAATGTAATTTTATTTCAGAATGACTAGTCCTTTACAGTTTAAGCATATCTGGAGGTAGCTGCCAAAATTACTTGATTTCCCACCTCCCCACACACAAATGGCTTGAGTGAATCAGTTTATGGGCAGAGTCCACAAGGAAATTTCTCTTGCATGAATCCTTGACATGAACAGGGACTTTGGAAGGGAACCTCTTGGTGGATTCTGCCGTATATTTCTGGAAGGACAGCTGAACACCAGTGTAAAATAATGTCTATACGATAGTTTCAGAACAAACATAAAACCACAAGAGGTAGCCTCTATTGATTGTCAACACAATAGACTTCCAGTTTCTTTTTCCCTTCTAAAAATGCTGTCCGAGTATGGTGCAATCTGCCTCCTACAGATATTAGTCACAATCCTCTCGTAGATGCTGATGGGCTGGAACAGAGAGAGAGAGGACTAAAAAGAACATTGTTTGTCAGGAACCACAATACCTACTGGAAATCCTGCACACTTACAGCACAAGTTATTCCTATTAACCAGTATGCGCAGATTTCTCTTTGACTTGAGGTAGAAAACCCCAAATGCCACCTTGCCTCTCACTCAGGCACCAGCCACTAAGAACTTTTCCTATGCAGTTACATTGCCACGAGATACTGTGCTGTTTCATAATTCAGATTTGTTTTCAAGGGATTTGCACTGTATAACCTCCCTATCTGAACAGAAATAGTTGCCTCATATTGAGTATCATCTAGCTTAGTATGAGCTACTCTGATGGGTAGTGGTTTTCCAACATCTCAGGTGGGTTCCCCCCCCCCCAGCATACCTGAAATACCTATAACAAGTATTTTGAAAGTTCTTTACACAGTGCATAGTTAAACTATGGAATTCACTCCCAGAAGAGGTAAGGAGAGTCAGTAACTTGGATGGCTTTAAAGGAGGATTGAACAAATTCACGGATGATAAGGCTATGGTTCATGGTTCGCCCTCCACTGGGGGAAGCAGCGTGCCTCTGAATTCCACTTGCTGGGAATCGCAGGTGGGGAAAGTGCTGTTGCGCTCAGGTCCCACTTCTGGGCTTCCCATAATAGGCATCTGGCTTATCGCAATGAGATCAGGATGCTGGACTGGAAAGGCCCTTTTGGCCCAAAGCAGCAGCACCTTTCTGTGTTCATATGGAGGGGTTAGGGACTGAATTGGGGCTCTTCTGCATACAAAGCTGGTCTCTGACTGTACCTAGAATCCCTTTCCATTCCCTACAGCTGCTGCCCTATAAGATGGACCAGACTATTCTGCCAATCAAACTTCCACAGGAAAGCCACTTGGGTGCTTTCAGATTCTTTCAGACCTCCATGGCACCCCAATTCCAGTTCTCTCGAAGCCTGCCCCTAGGAACTCTTAGCATGAACGTCAGGCTACAAAGTCAGCTGCTGCTGCTGCAGCAGCACTCCAAATGACTCATTTGGTGCCCAGGAGCTGCCATTTCTAACAGGATCTTCAGTGCCTGGATTTGATTTTGCTTAGTTGATCAAACAAACTTCACAGACTGATGTCCTCCCCTGCCCACTTTCCTTATAGCCCTGCAACTTCTTCCCCTATTAAAGGGTACTGCCAATTTTGGGGCTGTGGGGAATTTATTAATGTATGCACAATGGGAGGCATTATGGAGGCTTAATTGCTTTTATGCAAGACTCAAGCCATACAAACACTGCTCTACCCGTTTCAATACAGAAGCAAAGTTTCCTTCATCAGGAATGGTTTCTTACCCTTCATTTTTAATTGGTATCTTTGTTCCCTTAACAGTGCTACTCTGGACCTATATGCACATTTTTTTGCTTCCAAGATTTTCCTTGTTATTATAACCATAGTTACTTAAAATCCCAAGTACACTTGAGACATACTTGTTTTTGTTGCTAACTAGGCAGCATTCAACTGGAGTTCATTCTCAACATCTTGAGCAATGGATTTCCAAAACTGATTAACTCCTCAAAGTTGGCCACTTACTATAATTAACATAATTCTCATGTAATTCAGCATTCATCCGTATAGCAGTTTGATGAATCAGGATGCTTCCTTTTGTAGAATACCAAAGCTGCATAGATGGCAATATGGCATTGCAATAAAACCTCTGTGTGTGTGTTTAATCCTTGCTAATCTGTTCCCCTCCTGACGATGTGGGACTGCAGCTCCCATTAGCTCCAGTTAGCATAGCCAATGGTCAAGAATGGTGAGGGGAGGTGTAGTCTAACATCATCAGATGGGCCACAGGTTAGCCTCCCCAGTGTGCACAAAAGCATGTTTATAAAAGCCTGTAGATAAAATGCAAAGTCAGGGTGGGATAGCAGTTCTTTATATGCTTGTTGTGCAGTTCTTTGTAGTCCACAACAGTAGATCTGGTAAACCATTTAGAACAAAGTGGCTTGTATTAGCTTCTGGTCCAAGACTGGCCATGTACACATTAGCAGCTTAAAACACAGTGAGGTTGTTTCCCCCAAACCCATGTGTTTCAAGTTGCATTTGCATGTTGCTGTGCACACCTGAGATGGGATGGACCTGATGCACATTACCTGTTTGGTTTTCTGTGCCTACAACCCCTTCTCCCATCCCCAGAAAATCCTATTCACGAAGGTGTCATCTGCACATGCACAATGACTGTCTCAAATGTACACACCTCAACTTAACTGCAGCTTAAGTTTTCGGAATCAGGATGGAAGCTGGTTTGAAGGAAATGCATCAAACAACAGTATATCAGTTTTGTCAAAAACTCTAAGACTTATATAGAATATGGCTAACATGATGTGTACCCAGCCTAAAACACCAGAAGTGGGAGTGCACTAGAGCTGGGGTAAAGAGTCAGGGATTCTGTACCTGGCTGTAGCAGGAAATCACTTCACCTGGTTCTTTTGCTCTCAAGGGCTTTGCTGGGTCAGAATGAAACGGACCAATTGAAAATAGGGGGGCTTTGTTGAGGAAAAAATAAGTTGCAAATCCAGAGGAGAACCGTTTTTTCTCAACTCATTTTTCATGAACAGCAGAGGATTTAGATGTAAGAGAAGCTCAAGGCACCACAAACTGCTGTACTGTGTATGTGAGGAAAGCCTTGTCGAGATCCATGGGAGCTTGTTCCTGTAGAAGTCATTGCTCCTGGGATGCAGACCCAGCTCCCAAAATTCTCTTCCTTCACTGAAACGGCAGGATCAGTATGAAAGACACAGTGAGTGCATCCGCACACTCCTGAAAACCAAGGATTGGGGACTGGCTCAAAACTTGCTCTTTATGTTCTATGAGCCCTGTAAAAAAATGCTTTTCTAACCCTCCCACAGAGTCTTGCTTGCTTGGAGACCTAAAACCTTGCTTGCTGAATACTTGGAATGTAAGGCTTTTTCAAGCTGAAAAACAGTATATTTCAGCAAAGATTTCAGTACTTTGCATGTGCTCTATAAAAACGGGAAGCTTTACAAAAATAGCTATAGTGTGATCAATTAAAACATCTAATTTAAAATATGTACATTCTATACAGTTTCCTCTAGTTACATCCGTTAAATACCCCTTTTCTCTCTTTAAAAAAACCCTCTAGCATCCATGTCAGATGGATGCAGTCTAACCACGCTTAGAAACAGAAGGTGCTGGCTCCTTAGGACACAATTTTAGCAACCATCCTATTTCTGCTGAGAAACGTCATCCTAATTTAGTGGTGTACTCTCTATGGCTGCAGGCAGCTTTGGGTTTGGAAAGCAAATCCTTTGTGTTTTAGGCTGTTTATTTCTGAAATATCTCAAGTCTGAAAATGGCACACTGTGGAGAGAGAGATAAATGCCAACCAGCACCAATATTCCTGCAGCCATTGGCTTCCAGAGTCCGTAGCTCATTGCTTTTCAACAATGAAGGCTGAACATCCACAACTCATGGAACAGCTGAATTTTTAGCTTTTGATATCATCGTCCTTTAAGAATTTAAATCCTGAAGGTGCTTCATAAAGGCTCTCCCCATCAGTGCTGAAGTCGTCGTCGTCATCTTCAAGGTCATTCAGCATTTTACTAGAGGTCTTTTTGTGCCTGCTAAAGCAAAAATATATAAACATGTTAGTGTGGCTTTATAAGCTGGCTGTCAACATTTGGACTGCTTTCATGATGTATTTTAAAGATGCTGGTTGATTTGAATGAGCCAATCCAATGCCTACAAGGCTAGGAAAATGGGTGCAACTGTCTCCTCCATAGCCCTGGGGGAAAACACCAGAATGAGCACTGCAATCTTGGGCATATGCCCCTTTCTGCAAAGTTCCTCTTTCTCCAAATGTTTACACAAAAATAAGCTCCTTGGAAACTCAGCAGTGAAGGTTCTGGCATGACACATAAGTCCTACATTTTTTCTGGAAGGAATTTGAGGGAAAGCTCCAAATTTGGACATTTTAAACTAGTTCCCAGCAGAGGGCTGAATGTTAGGGATGGGGAAAATCCAATCCAAAGTGCCATGGAACCCCAAAATTATAAATTGGAAGGGGCAGGGACAATCAGCTTGGTTAAGGTTTCCAAACAAAGATTCTTAGATCCAGAATGAGGAGAATGAGTTGGGTCATACAACCCACGAGCAAGAGCCAATGTGGCAAGTGGAGCAGTGACTTTCCAGATCTTGGGAAGGGTTGATGAAAACCTTTCTGGGTCCCAAGGCTCCTCCTTTCCCACCTGAGTTCCTTTTTGATTGCATTCAGCTGTCCTTGCAGTTGGTCATTCAAGTCAACTTGCTCTTCCAGCTCCCTCTGAAGCTTTTTCTTGGTGCTCTCAAGCCTATCTATTTCTTCTTCTGCTCCCTCCACCTGGCGTTTCATTGCTTTCAAACGCAAGCTCAGCTGAGAAATAAGAAGAAAGGGGCCAGTTAGAGGTGGCGGGCCAAGGGGTCAGTCATCCTCAGCAACCCTTGATGGAGGGCATGGAGCCTATGTGAGCAACGGAGCAATCATGGGAAATGCTATTTTTATGGTCAGAGGAAAGCTTAAGCTCAAAGCCTTTGCCAGAGGTTGGGAATTGGATCCCGATGAAGGACCTGCTCCAGAAGTGACCAACCCTCCATGGGATCCCTTTGACCGAGTATGTATGAATGTATGCATTTTACCCTTTGGAAAATAAATGGGTCACTAAAGTGGAGCATATCAGATGCTGCTGGACTGCAACTCCCATCATCAACATCATCACTGGCTGGGCTGGCTGGACTTGATGGGAGTCCCAGCCTCTGAAGGACACCATGTGGGCAAATCCCTGCTTCAGAACAACAGAAGGCATTGGATGCCACAAACAAGAAAAAGCAGAGGTGTACTCGGTGCTTTTTTCTGGGGGTACTGAAGGGGATGCAGTACTAGCGCGCACCCCCCCAAAATGCTAAAAGTGTGGCACTTAATGTAACAACTTCACGGTGATTACCAGCATCTTTTTTTCTTAAAAATGGAAGCCAGTTCATATTGTGTGATATTTGTGATGGTTTTAGTGTCTTTAGTGAGTTCCTGGGGCGGCTCACAGTCCCAAGATGAAGGGTGAGCTATAAACTTAATAAAAGTAAATTTGGGGGACAAATCCTTGGTAACTACATTAGCCCAAGTGATGCTTTTCTTCCTTACCTGGTCCTTCTGATCTGTCAGAGAGAGATGCTCATCGTCCACTTGCATCATGACCTCCTTAACTTTCTTTTCAAGCCGGCGGTTACTCAGCTGGAGGTTAGCTCGATCCCTAGGAAAAGAGAAGGGCATACTCACAGGTAGCAAGGTAAGAACCAAGAAATGTTCCACTTACCTGGGAGAAGGACCTACAATTGAAAATAGATGACTCAGAGTAGAATGCAGCATGGGTACTTAAGCCCTATAAATCAACCTCAGTTTGTGTAAGGGAATGTTCCTTAAAAATTCTGCAAGGTAGCATCGTACTCCTGGCCAGCTTTCACACATGACATCAATTGCCCCACAGGGCTGTTGGTGCAGCTCCAGTAGCAGGGGGACATGTTTCCATTTTTGTGGGAATGCCCCTGACATCCAAATTTTAGAGTGGTGTTTTTGAAGTATTTTTATTTTTTTTAAATACCATATTTTTCACCCTATAGGATGCACTTTTCCCCCTCCAAAAATGAAGGGGAAATGTGTGTGCGTCCTATGGGGTGTATGCAGGCTTTCACTGAAGCCTGGAGAGCGAGAGGGGTCGGTACGCACCGACCCCTCTCGCTCTCCAGGCTTCAGGAAGCTCTCCGCAAGCCTTGGGAGCCTGCGGGAGTTCCCGTCGGGCTCCCTAGGCTTGCAGATAGCAGCCTGCATCTCGAAGCCTGGGGCGCGCTGCACAGCGCGCCCCGGGCTTCGGTTCCCCGACCTGGTTTGGAGGCTGGCGGCGGGGAGAAGCACGGTTCTCCCCGCCGCCAGCCCCACAAGCTTGGGGGACAGTGGGGAGGTGCAGTGCCGCCATCCCGCTGTTCCCCGACCTGGTTTGGGCTTCAGGCAGATATCCGCAAGGCGTGGGAGCCCGGCGGGAAGTCACGCTGGTCTCCCAAGGCTTGCGGAGAGCTGCCTGTTCTGGGGGCTGGGGTCGGGGGAAGCTCGGGCTTCCCCTGCCCCAGCCCTGCGCCTGGGGGGGGAAATATTTTTTTTTTAATTTCCCCCCTCCAAAACTAGGTGCGTCCTATGGGCCGGTGTGCCCTATGGGGCGAAAAATACGGTACTCCATCCAAGCTTCCCCACAACTTGTCATTTTGAACTTATGGGATGATCAAACAGCAATTTTCAGATCAAATTAACTTCTTATATGGATGCCGGGTACAAAAAGAACTTATTTGGCCCAGTAATGAAATATATTACTGGACTTAAACCTTTCGTTGTGGAAGAAAAATATGTCGACTGGCTATTGCAGAGAAAATAACCCACGAATTACATTTCTCTAAGGGTAAGGAAGACCTGGAACACTTCTGTATCAAAGGCCTGTCTAGACAAGTGGGAAGGTGGGAAGTCTGCCAACCGGGGCATGGAGACAACAGCCCTTCCATATGGTGTGTCTCCAGCATGAGATATTCTGATGTCCACTGCCAGTAAGTATGGATGGTCTGCTTCTACTACCTGTTCTTCTTATATGTGGCTCGGCTGTTGTGTTATTTTTATTGGATGGGTGGATTATAAACTTTATATTGATTTGAAATATTGTAAGCGGTACCAATTTTGAAATAGGTTCAATTCTTTTTTAAGCTAACAGAGGTGGTGGGTCTCCAGTATTTAGATGAGAGGCCTTTTGCGACTCTTAAAATACCGCATTTTTCGCTCTATAAGATGCACCAGGCCACAAGATGCACCTAGTTTTTGGAGGAGGAAAACAAGAAAAAAATATTCTGAATCTCAGAAGCCAGAACAGCAAGAGGGATCACTGTGCAGCGAAAGCAGCAATCCCTCTTGCTGTTCTGGCTTCAGGGATAGCTGCGCAGCCTGCATTCGCTCCATAAGACGCACACACATTTCCCCTTACTTTTTAGGAGGGAAAAAGTGAGTCCTATAGAGCAAAAAATGCGGTAGATGAATATCTGACCGGGACATGGTGTTCCCTGGGTGGTCTTGCAGTCGGCTTTACCTCTCTTCATTCTCCAGCCGCTCCTCCAGTTCCATGATCCTGGTTTCCATCTGAACCAGAAGCCCTTCTTTGCTGGACTGGTAAGAACCTTCAAGGTGAAAGATCCGGCTTTTCAGGTCCTTGTTCTAGAGTAAGAATACGCAGAGCTTATTGAGCAGGTAAGTCTGTGGACAAATTAGCAATGTAGCAAGGGGCCTGGGCAGTTGCATGCCCTAGACTTTTTGACTGGCAAATGGCATCCATCTCTTCTCCCCAGTTAATATGAGTCACACTCTGTCAGAAGAGTCTCTCATTTTGATTAATAGAAACCTCTGAAGGGATTGTGGCCCACTGCTCAGACCTGACCTTCGTGCCTTCCAGGTCTGATGCAAAGTGCTGTGATAACCCTGAAAGCCCTTAATATTCCTCAGAAAGGATCAACAATTCAGATCAACCTGCCTATGCCTCACAATCAGCTTCACAGGCCCTGCTTAGGTTGCTGGGCACACGGAACAGGACCTTCTCTTGAGTGACCCCACATTTGTGAAATTCAGTCCCACGGGAAATCAGGGAAACTTCACCCCTTTATATTTTGAAATGGGCCTTAAAGACCCACCTCTTTTGGTGGCTTTTACTGGCTGGCAGAAACAACAGAGATTTGGAAGTTATAGATGTGAAGTTTCTGTATTTCACAACATGTAGTGAAAGTCTTGCTGAAGATCAAGGGTGCCAACTTGAATAAAATATTGGAGGGGAGCCAGCTAAGCCCTGCCTCACATAATCAACCACAATGCACAGTGCACACAAACCCTATTTGAATGGCAATGGCCATCAACCTGGGGGGGGGGGGAGTCAAATATATTAGGGGGGGCAGAAGGGACCTTGGCCCCTAGGAGTTGGCTTCTATGCTGAAGATACACAAACACAAAGAAAATAGTGGATCCTTTGGAGAAGGAAAAACACACACGTAGGGATCATCCACACTTCATATACTGCCACACTTTTCAGGCACAGATCTGCACTTTAAAGCTCTTTGTCCAAGCATTTTCTGTTTTTGTTTTTGTCCCAGAGCTTTCCCCTTGAAAACCCACATTTTACCACTGAACTGGAGCAAAATGACAATCTGCAGAAAACTCGATTGCCATTTTCTCCAATTCTGCAGGCAAATGCAGGTTTTCATGGGGAAAGCGCTGGGACAAAAAAGAAACCGCTTGGACACAGAGCTTCAAAGCCTGGACCTGTGCCTGGTAACGTGGACAAAAGGATGTCTGGCTGAGCCTTTAGTTCGGGACAGCTAAGACGCGTGTCCACCACTAGGTGGCACTCTGCTCCTGAAGTGTTTAAGCTGGGATGGCCATGGGTGGATTTTTCCTGTGTAATTTCCAAGAGAAGAGGCTCTGGTGTCCAAACCTGCTAGGAGGCAGCCCTGCTCCTTAACCCTGAAGGTGTGGTCTGGGCAAGCCTTCCCCAACCTGATGCCCTTCAGCTGTTTTGGACAACACCCAGCAGCCCTGGCCAGCACAGCCATACGATTCTGGGAATGATGGGAGTACAGCTGTGGGTGTGGCAGCCCAAACTATCTGAAGGGTTCTAGGCTGGGGGAGGCTGAGCCAGGCTTTGCCCACTCCATGGCACTGGGAGTGCACTCAGCACACAGTCTGGGGGCACTGCTTGCTAACATCCATATTTCCCATTGTCCGGTCCTGGCATCAAACACCACAAGCTGAGCCTGAGCACAAAAGAAGCTGCAATCCTTGCCTGTCTCTCCAGTGAAATCTTGTCACACTCCAAGTCTTGCCTCGCAGCCCTTTCCTGAAGCAGCTCGCTCCGCATTTGCTCAATCTGTAGGTGATAAGCAAAAAAGAAAAGAAAAAAGGCTGAAACCTCCAAATGGTAGCAGCCTAACAACACGTCTTAACACTCTCCTCTACAGCTCCAGGCAATGCTGTAGAATTGCGGGCACTAAAAAGAGACCTGCAGGTGGGTCAGACCCAAGCGGGCCTATCCAGTCCAGCTTCCCACAGTGGTGAACCAGGGGCTTCCTGAAAGCCCACCAGCAAGGCACAAGGGCAACAGCATGTCCCCAGGTGTGATACAGTGGTACCTCAGGTTACAGACGCATCAGGTTACAGACTCCACTAACCCAGAAATAGTACCTCGGGTTAAGAACTTCGCTTCAGGATGAGAACAGAAATCGCACAATGGCAGCGGGAGGCCCCATTAGCTAAAGTGGTGCTTCAGGTTAAGAACAGTTTCAGGTTAAGAATGGACCTCCAGAACAAATTAAGTTCTTAACCCGAGGTACCACTGTACTCAGCAGCTGGCCTTGCCTCTGATCCTGAAAGTAGTACACAACCATCATGGCTAGTAGTCGCCCACTTGGCCACAGCTAAGGGCATTTCCAGTCTGAAATGGGCAGAAAGGGCACAAGTGGTGGGAAGGGCAGCATGAATATTAGTATGAGGATGGACGAGGATGGGAAAGAAAGAAGCATCAGGCTTCTCAGGGACTGCCTTGTGGAAAAAGAAGCCAGATGGGAGGAGAGGAGAAATTGTAGCTCAATGTAGCACAGCACACACTTTGCAAGAGGTCCCAGGTTAATCTCCAGAAGCACCTCCAGTTAAAAAAGGCTCAGGTCGCAGGTAATGAGCATGGGACATTTCTCTGCATGTGCCACCACTAGAGAGAGCCCCCCGCCAGTCAAAGTGGACAAACAAATAGTCTGGCTGCTTCTGAAGGAAGGGAGCTATTTCTGACCCAAGGGAGCAGTGGGGAGGGCAAAGACCAATGGTGGGTTTGGGTGAAGACAAAGGGGGCTGGCAAAGGAGGAGCTTAGCCACAGAAGGGGGGGTCAAGAAGGGGCATGAAGTGGGGGAAGTAGAGCTTGGGAAGCAAAGTCATTTTCTGAGGGTAAAAAACACAGCCACACAAAGACCGAGAGAGAGGTGGAATGAGATACTAGCCAAAGATACCAGCGCCATTTTATAGGAAAATGAGGTCAAAGAGGATCCTAGTGGAAGGTTCAGTTTGGCATCATATCCAAGACACAGGGTCTGGGAAGACCCTTGCAGGTGCTCTGGACTGTGTCCAGGTTTTAAGGATATTAAACTGCTTTTGGGGCAGTTCCCTACAAAGTGTCCATCCCAATGTGCACCAGATTCCAAATGACAGCATATGCACTCCAGATGCACACACATACACACCCCAAGTACCATGAACTTCTGAAACCAATGTTGTTGTCTGGCCATTGGAAGATCTTGTTATGGAGTGCCCACCATCCCTACTTTCATCTTTTTGCAAGGCCCTTTTATTGGGGTCATGCAGAAAACTCTGCTATAATTGCTTCAGGAGGCCCAGACAAAATGAAAGAAAATTCTGAAGGGGAGGGGGGAATTAATGAGCAACTAATTAAAGATGCAGCTTTTAAATGATGTTTGTCAGTGGGCTTGGATGTAGCTGGTCACAGTGAGGTTCCAGACACTGAGCTATTGTGTCCTCTGTGTGCTCAGAGGCTGTGAAAAATGTGGGCGGCCATCCCTGGGTCTCACATTAGGGATGGATGTAGGACAGCAAGGGGCACTGAGGTGATGGATGCTGCTGCTGCTGTGGTGGTTGAAGGATGCTTCTGTGTAGAAGGGTCAACACAGAATTGTCTATTGGTGGACATTTCCCCAAGGGCTGCCTGTAGTGCCAATCTCACTGTGCCCAATGCTGGGGGGTCCGAAGCAGGGGTCTCCTCAGGGTTTGCTGGGCTTCTCTGAATTGCAACCTTTGGCGCAGCTCTCTAAGGGGTGTTAACCGAGCTGTGGGCCACGGGAGGGTCTTGTTCTTCCTTGGTGGAGACAGTGCTTTTTTTGGGGGGGGTACACATACCCCTAAACATTTTGTGAATCTAACGGGAGAAGAAACTAAAAATGTTTAAAAAATTAGTTTCTTCTCTAGCACTGTGAATCGTCAGTTCCATTGCTACCCCCGATGGCAGCCTCATTTCCTGTCACGGTGTTTCCCGAGTCTCACGGAAGCGAGCATTTAATGTGTGAAGTAGGAGTTGGAATCTAGCACGGTGATTGGTCAGTTTTGTTGTTACCACCTCCAACAGTGGCTTCATTTCCTTTCCTGGTGTTTCCCGAGTCTCAGACGGAAGTGAGCGTTACTGAGAGCTGTCAGCTGTGTAATATGAGGTCATGCATGTTCTTTGTACTTTTGTCCATTTACTGTATTTATTTTCCCCAATTTGCACTATTAAATGGTGACTTTCTTGAGTCAAAATGAGAGTACCCCTAAACATTTTTTAAAGGAAAAAAGATGGGTGGAGAAGATCAAATTTGGTGAAGGATCTAGGCAGGGGTCAGCAAACTTTTTCAGCAGGGGGCCGGTCCACTGTCCCTCCACCTTGTGGGGGGCCAGACTATATTTTTTTTGGGGGGGGGGAATATGAATGGATTCCTATGCCCCACAAATAACCCAGAGGTGCATTTTAAATAAAAGCACACATTCTACTCATGTAAAAACATGCTGATTCCCGGACTGTCTGCAGGCCGGATTTAGAAGGCGATTGGGCCGGATCTGGCCCCCGGGCCTTAGTTTGCCTACCCATGATCTAGGGGCAGGTTCCTGATAGCCCCAGACTGGCACATCTTGGCCACTAGGACAGAAGAAACATGGGCCTACTGTGCCCTTCTGCATTTTTGATCTTCTCCTCCCCAATGCATCAAAGATGTTCAAATTCTGTGACAAGCACAAGCCTGAACTGCACCGCTTCAGGTAGCAGCTGCTCCAGCTGGAAGGGAGGCCCATTGAAGAGCAAGCATGTCCGGTCCAAGGGGCCTTTATTAGAGAGCTTGGTGCTTTGGGTCTGTTTCTGGACAAGGCGCAGCTGCGGAGTTCGTTGTCAAGGAGAAAAGTAATTTGATTTCTAATAATAGCCTAAAGACGGCTGCAGCCGCTGTCTTCCATCTCCCACTGGACACACACACGTCTCACTAGTCCTCAAGAGGGGAAAGCCAGGAGAAAATAAAGCCTCAGCCCTCCCTGTTTCCTGGGCCGCCTGACTCAGCAGAAACACTCAGCTGCTCAATAAAGGGAGATAATGGAAGCGTGGATGCCTCTCTGGCCAAAAAAAAGCCACCCACATTTTCATCTGCCTGCTCCACGCACCTGCGTCAAGTGAGGAGCAGGTGTGCAGCATCCACTGGGACTGCTTTGCCAAAAGAAGTGAATGACAGCCCTGCCAATGTAACTTCATCCTTTGCTCATTTACTGCGCCATTGCTATGGAAACAGGCCCCTCAAGAGAAGCTGCTCCGGAGTCAATTAATTCATGTTCAGTCGGCTTTATTTCTTTGGTCGTCCGTCCCCCGGCCCCAGTTGTTAGTTGCTGCAGGACAGGAATGCATCTAGGCAGTAGAGGAAGAAGGGCTGCTCTTGAATGCTGGCCACTGGCAAAGTGGCATTGCCAAAGAAGGCTCTCTCATATCCACAGCTGGACTCGGGTTCAAGTCACCCCTGCAGGCTTTGCAAATAATAATACAGGATTTTGTTCCTGCTGATAGTGTCATCCTCAGCATTGATTCTGGGTGGTCTCCCTTTAATCAAGGTTTAGGGACTGACTAAACAAAATGACACAGAGACACAACTGGTTCTCTCATCTCCTTACATTTTTGCAAAAGCAAGCCGCATGTTCCCTTCTCCTCCTTACACCCCAGCAACACAGTGGGCATAATCCAGGGAACACAATCCAGGGCCCTGGAGTCCCACAATCGCATTTCAATTATTTCTTTCCTCTCAAAGCCACCTGAAGGATGGGGCTATGAAGAAGCTACAACTCTCACCTACTGAGCTGGAAGAGCTGCCATTAACTTCAGAGCAGAAATGTGCAGCTTCTCAATCATGACGAACAGCAGTTTAAGGAATTAAATGCCCCATAAAACTTAGGCAATATTTTCTATTTAATGCCGATCACTCTACAGATTAGTCTCCATTAACTTCATATTAAGAGAGCTTGCCAGCAATGGGGGAGGGGAGTTTCCTGGGTCACCCAAAGGTTTGCCAACTTTTCAGTCAGCCCCTGCTGCTGTCACTTCAGCAGCAATTAGCAAGTGGTAACAACATTTAGCTTCATCCATGCCATGGAAATGACACCTGCACATTGCCGCAGCCCAAACCTTTGTTAAAGGCACAGGGGCAGACCAGGCTGGGTCAGTTGGCACCCTTAATCAACGATGTTGACCAAAACAAACCCATTATTAGTCCTGGCTTTATTGTGAATGTTTAGCAGACCCTGAAATAGTCTCCTGGGAATCCATCCTTTGGCCATCCTAGTGTTGTCTCAGAACAAGGAAAACTTTGTAGCTTGTATAAAATTAGGGGCTCCAGAGCCTTTGGGACGAACACCTATTTTGCCCTGACCCAACACCCCACCTCCCAACTTACATAATATGCTGCTGGTCAGAAAGTTGGTGGTTTGCGTTTCCTTTAAAACTTCTCATTAAAAACTACAGCTACATCCCTTGAAGGCAACCTCCACTCCATGATCCCAGGCACAGAACGGGCTGCAGCATCCCCACTGAACACTGGCATGGTCTGTGGGTCCAATAAGGGCCCCCTTGCCCTACCCCCCACAAAATGCTGCATAAATACAAACAACTTTTAAGCAGGAGAGAGGAAGGAAGAAGAGAAGGCTTGTACATGCCCAATTCAAACCAACAAGAAACGGAGGGATTCATTGCCAGCTGATGCTGCTTACAGAATGCCGGACTCGCATTCCTGGCAAGGCCCCCAAACTCATCCTGGGCCAGTCCTACTCTCCCAGTGCCACCTGCCACACAGAGTAGCTGCAAGGATGACACAGGGCAATCGTCTTGTATGCTGTCGGGAGGAGAATGTGAATGGAATCCCTAGAAGCACAGCTGAGTAGTGGCTGGTGGGTTGGGCCCAATTAGAGAACTCCAGAGGATTGTGAGGAATCTTAATGTGCTCCCTCCAGCCAGAGCTGCCCAGTGGAGAATTCCCCCTGCTCAGGTACCTGCTCTCTGCACCTGCTGATCCTTTCAGACAAGATGTCTGAATTGTTCCGCTCCTCTTCAAGCTCGAGTTCCAGCTGGGACATCTTGTACTAAAAGAGATGACACAACATTGGCTCAGTGGCTGAGAGTGGGAAGAAGGAGTAGCAGTGGGTGACCAAGGCAAACTCTGGAAGATAAGAATTCAGGACTAGAAAGTGGGTGAGGACCAGTGTTTTTTACCAGGAAAATGGTGCTGGTACTCACCGTACCACTCAAAGGCACGCCAGCCTTGCTCCCGAAAGAGGCAAAGTCCTATATGCGCCCCTACAGCAGCTGCAGCACCTCCACTGGCAACACAGCCACATAAGGAGACAGGTGTTGAGGCGGGAAGAGGAGAGGGAAACTGTACCTGTGCGGTGGGACGAGGCACCAGAAGCGCCTTCCCTGCATGGCTTCTTTCCCTCATCCCTGTCCTTTCCATTCTCAAAGCTCATTGGCTGCTGGCGCTTCCCGCCTTTGCAAATCATGCCCCCAATGGCTTGCAGAGTTGCCAGTCACTGCTCCCCACCCGCCCACCCAGAAACCAGCTGTCAGTCACCTTCCATATAACAGTCTCTCTCATTGGTCAAATCAGAGTGGGCAGAGGAGCCAGTGGACTCAGGGAACAGCCGGGGTGGAGGTTAAATTCTGGAGATGGGATTGGCTGAATAACCTGCCATGACAACAGCAATGGCAACTATGATGTTTGTCACGGCAATGCTAAGAAACTAGAGGAAGTGGGAAGCAGGGAAACAGGATCTTGGAAACACTTCCAAGGTGCAGAGGATTGAACAGCCCCCAGTCATTGCTCTCCTGCTTTAAGCTGCTGGAAAACAGTGCTGGAGCTGCATACTGGCATGGAGCAACAGGGGGGAAAGCACTGGTGAGGACTGCGCTCCCAAGTGTTTATCTCAGGAATGGGGAACCTCTGGGTCTCCAAAGGTTTCTTGGGCTCCAACTCTCATCAGCCCCAACAAGCATGGTCTATGGACAAGGATGCTGGCAATTATAATCCAACATTAACTAAAGGGTCACAGGCTCCCATCTCTGGCTTACGTTGATCATCATTCAACATCTCTCAAGCTTAAAGGAATCAGCAATTAGATGTGAAATCCCCAAAAAAATCTCTGGGGCAGTTCCTTAGGGCAACCAGAGTTTCATTCCCCTCAGCCATGATGGCAGCATCACATGAAGAACCCCGGAAAACCAGAGGTCCACATCTGACACAGCACACAGGGTGGGCAGCTTTTCCCAGACCAAGGGCAGTTTTCACAGTTCCCCTTCCTGGAAAAGGGGTCGGTGATGCCTTGAGGGGCTTCTACATACTCCAGCAGAGCCGTGAGTGCCAAAACATGGCTTAGCTGCTGTTTTATGATTCTACTACCATTTTACAATTCCTTTTTGTTTTATATTGTCATCTTTTTGTAATTCTGCCTTGGAAACAGTCTTTGAAAGGAGGTGTGGGAGTGTGGCAGGCAGTGGGCTGGGCTGAATGTACCAGCAACCTCAACGGGCACTTAGAAGGGCAAGATTTGATGGAGTGTGAATGGAGCAGGGTGAGATTTGAAACATGCGCTCCCGGAGCCCTTACAACTCTGTTTGTGTGTAGGGTGTGTTTCTGTGGGTGCTCTGTCTCCCAGTGCCAGGGATGGCCTGCTCCAGTTCAAATAGCCAGCTGATCACATCTGGGCAACATGTCTTTCCCTCTCCAGAGAGAAGGAAGGGAGGAAGGAAACATGTAAGCAAAGGCCAGGCAGCTAAATAGTCTTGTGTGAGACAAGTGAGAGAGCCAATCAAACCGAACCTCACTGGCCTCTGGTGATGCTTATGGAAAGGAGCTGGAGCTGGAGTCAGTCCCCTTCCCCATGTTCATCTTCCTGGTGGTGTCTGAAAAGGTGACTCAGCTCTCTCCCACCCTCCACCCCACTCATCTCATCTACCTCCATGATCTTGTCCTGTCTTGCTCTATCTTCTTTCAAGTGATTTTTGGCCTCCAGTTCATATTCCAGGGCTTTCAAAGTCTGTTCCAGAAGCTGTGTTTTGGTAATAGCCTCATCTTGAGCTCTCTGGTGATCTCGTAATTCTTTTTCCATAAAATGCATCTGAAAGAAGAAGAAGAAATTGTGGGCTAAAGAGCCCCCTGGGTAGGAGGCAATCACTAGTCTGGTTTGTTGTGGACAGAGAAACTTATAGGGCAAAGTAAATCCATCTTGCATTTTCCAAGTACAGAACCATGGGCCCATCTGCTATTACAAGCCTGACTTCCCTCCAAGCCTGATTCAAAGGTGAGAAGGGACAGTGGAGCCCCATAAGGCTAACTGCCCACCCCTTGAACAAATCACCTTGCCCTGTGCAGGAATCCTGGCCTAGTGTAGCAAGCAATCCCATTTGGGAGGTGTCTTGTGAAAATTCACCTGTCCAGCTCACACTGAAAGCAGCTTAACCATTTTGGGGTACCCACTCCAGTTTGAGAAGAAGAAAGTGGTTGTTGAAAAGGAACTGGTTACAGAAAGAAATACCAAATAAGGCAGCTCTATTTTCTCAATATCAGGAATCTGTGGCCACATTTGTTAAGCAAAGGGCATTGCCCAGATCAGCAAGTAAAAAAACTCACCTCAGCCTCCTGGGACAACCTTCCCCAAACCGGTATCTACCAGATGTTCTTGACTACAACTCCCATCACCCTCATCCAGTACAGCTGTCTGATGCTAGGACTGATGGGAGTTGTAGTCACAGAATCATAGAGTTGGAAGGGACACCTAGTCCAACCCCCTGCAATGCAGGAATCCCAGCTAAAGCATCCATGGCAGATGGCCACCCAACCTCTGCTTAAAAACCTCCAACGCATCTCAAGGGGACTGGGTTGAGGAAGGTTGTCTAAAGCAGTGTTCCCCAACCTTGGGCCTCCAGCTGTTTTTGGACTACAACTCCCATCATCCCTCGCTAGCAAGACCAGTGGTCAAGGATGATGGGAATTGTAGTCCAAAAACAGCTGGAGGCCCAAGGTTGGGGAACACTGGTCTAAAGGAAACGGGAACATGGGAGCAAGAGAGGCAAGGCAAATGAAGATCCAGCCGTTTGTGCAAAGCAACAAGATATCTGGACGTTGTGGCTCGTTAGGCAAGCCAAAAGAGAAGCACAGCTTGGTACAAATTGCCTTTGGTGGTGTGTTCTGTGCTCATGGACTTTCTTGGGTGACTTTGTGAGCACCTCATGTGAAAAAGATGATTTTAGTACAATACCACTTCCAGATTCAGAATCTTAGATTTCTGTAAGATCCTGTTCACAGATACAGCTCTAGATATAGTGTGCAGATTAACAATCTCCATGTAATGTTTCCACGTTGAATCACTCACACAGAGACTTTTTTAAAAGTCCAGGCTCTTTCATGAGCAAAGTCTGTTAAGTCAGAACTTGCACTTCTTAACTGTTTGTATCAGTGATCTTGCATGATTTCCTTCCAGCCACAAGATGGCAGCATGCCAATGGCTTTTTGGGGGAGATAGGTGTGGGATGGGATAAAAAACATTCTAACGAAACCATCTCCTAGTTTAGCAAGACTTAGATAATAACTCAGTAACCCTGGACAGCAAGCCAAACCCTCCCTTCTTCCTGGAGCTTGTTTACATGATCAGTGACCCTTTAAGCTCATTATAGGATTTACAGTCAGTTACTGAATCATGCTGGAATACAGGTTTCTTGTTGGACTACTTTGCACAGGGAGGTTCCTGTGTAAATCATAACACAGAAAATGGCCCGTTTTCAAAGATGAACAGGCCACATTCTTTTATATCCTCCACTGATAAGTTCTCACATTTTTGTAAAACACTGAAGCTTGTCCAATGTGTCTGTTCTTGACCATGGGAGACCAGAACAAGGACTGGCAAGGACTTGGATGGAGCTAACTCGGGTGAGATTGGGATTTCTCTTCCTCTCTCCCTGCCCCCCCCCCCAAAAGTCCACATTGTCCCAGAGAATCAGGATGATTCTTCCAGGCTGAGGAGCCATTACCTCCTCTTGCATCTTAAGGGACGCCAGGTGGGCCTTTTCCAGCTCCAGGTTTTTGTCTTTCAGCTGCCTGTGTGTCTCGGAAAGCTCCCGGCGATTCTTCTCCTTGTATTCATCAAGCTGGTTTTGGAGCTCCAGCGTCGATGTTCGTGAAACCTCAATGATTTCTGCCATCTAGCAAAAAAAGGAAAGGAAGCATTAGCAAGAAACAGGAAGCAATCAAAAGATGCCCAAAGCAGGCTCCCATCATCACTCCAGCTACAAAATGGCATATCCAAAAGCTTTAGGCCAGGGGTCAGCAAACTTACCACGCCTCGGGCTGGTGTCTCCAGCGCTGATCACAGCGGTGGGCGGGAGGGCGGGGGAGCGCGTGCCCATATGCGTGCTCACACGCTATTTCCAGTGCACTTCCGGGTAGGAGGAGCGCCGGAAATAGCTTGTGTGCATGTGCACGAGCCTCCTCCGACCCAGATGTGCACCGGATATAACGCGCATGCGCACAAGCTATTTCCAGTGCTCCTCCGACCCAGAAGTGGGCAGCTGCGCAGTGCAGCGCCAGTAAGAGCGGGTGGGGGGGGGTTGCTGCGGGCCAGATAAACGAGTCCCTCAGGCCTTATCCGGCCCGCAGGCCTTAGTTTGGGGACCCCTGCTTTAGGCTGAACACAGAAGCCCAAAGAGCAAATCACAGACTGATGGTTTTTCAGCTTGTGTTGCTCACAAATTACGATCTAAAGTGAGAGGTGGGTGGGGAACTTCTCTGGTTCTCCAGATGCTGCTGGAGCCCCAACATCCACCAGCATGGCCAATGGTCAAGGATGATGGGAGTCGCAGTCCAAAAGCATCTTGGAGGGCACCAGGCTCCCCACCTCTGCTATAAAGTCTTTGAATAGTGTTTGTAGAAACACAGTGGCTACTTAAACCGTGGGGTCTTGGCCTGGCTCTCAGCACTGGTGGGTGGGCATGCAAGTGGCAGTTCCAGGAGTGCTGGTTGGCAACGAAGAGGGCGAGTGAGTGGCCCAGGAGAAGGCCTGAGACAATGGTCTCATATGGCTTCATGAAATGGCTAATATAATAATAGTTCATTTTTCATTTTTAAAGATAACTCTTATGGTTACACTGAACACTACCTTCAGCATACAAGCAGAAAAGTGGTTCTAAACATTAAAAAAACGAACCCATAAGTAATTATATCAAGAAAAGGAGCAGCAAAGAAGGGCTGTGGGTTGGAATGAAAAGCTGGGAGGAGGAGAGAGAAGGCAGTCATTCTGACTAATTCATGTTTAATCTATGCTGCCCTTTTAAGAGCTGGCATAGGTGTGTTTCTTTGGCTCTGCTTGCTGCAGCCAGCCCTGAGGCCGCTGGGTTAAAAAAAAAGAACAGCAACAAATGTGTTGTTCTTAAGTTTTGCTGGAAATAAATCACCAGGTTTGCTGACATTTCAGGCCCCAGATGAAGTGCTGTCCGTTTCTTGCAGTTTTGCGCTTGGGATAGATGCCTGGGTTCCTGCCCCAGCTACAACTCCTGCTCTAAAAGCGCCCATTGATCTTCCCTGGGTCCCAAACATTAAGTGCAAAGTTCACATTTCACTTTCATTTGTACCTCTTTCTCTCTTTCTCTCCAACCCTTTTGTACAATTTGGTCTTTTATTTTCTCTCCCCCTGCCCTTGATATTCAATCTCCAGCCAGCTCATACCTCCTTGTGTAACTTCTCAATAGTCTTGTCCAGTTGCCACCTCTCATTCTCTAATTCACTCTTCATCCTCTTTAACTGATCCTTCTGGTTAGCTTCATCTTTCAGCCGGTCAGTTAACTGTTGCAGCTCCTGGTTCAGGCGGCTGACGTCCTTCTGCAGCCATGAAAAAAAGCCAACGCGTGAGATGCTCTCTTGCAGTTTTTTTTTATCCCATGCACTTAACATTCTTCCAAGAAATGAGAGCAAATGGGGGCGGGGGGGGGGAATCCCTGCTGTAACAAGAAACTTTACAAAAATCAAAAATCAGAGAAGCGGTCCTTTGATTTAAGTTCCCTGGTGCAGGGACCTGGGCTTTTAATGTTGCTCCATGGGCACAATCAGTATTTTAAAGGTTAAATACAGAGGTTATATTGTAAGTAAAGTACCGCCAAGCACAAATCACGCTCAGAAGCACACCTAGCATTTGACTGTGCTGAGCACCAGGGAAGTGCAAATTCAGTGCGCGAAAACGGACAATGGTGGATCAAGGGCATTTATGTAAATGTGGGTTCATGTGCTGCACACCCCACCCCAAAAAACCTCACCCTGCTCAATTTGTACAGTTCATATTCTGAATCTGATTGTTTAGGTTCCCCCCCCACTGCCCCAGTGTTCACACCAAGCATGGGGCAAATGAGACTCCTCAGCAGCACAAGTAAAGCTAGGAGGGGTCACTCTTATATCTTTAAAGGTAAAGGTACCCCTGACTGTTAGGTCCAGTTGTAGACGACTCTGGGATTGCAGCACTCATCTCACTTTACTGGCTGAGGGAGCCGATGTTTGTCCGCAGACAGTTTTTCCTGGTCATGTGGCCAGCATGACTAAGCTGCTTCTGGCAAAACCAGAGCAGCACAAGGAAACACCGTTTACCTTCCCGCTGGAGTGGTACCTATTTATCTACTTGCACTTTGACGTGCTTTCAAATTGCTAGGTTGGCAGGAGCAGGGACTGAGCAACAGGAGCTCACCCCGTCACGGGATTCAAACCACCAACCTTCTGATCGGCAAGCCCAAGAGGCTCAGTGGTTTAGAACACAGCGCCACCCGCGTCCTTTACCTTAGTATAAAAGGGAGTTCTTATAGCTGAAAAGTTTCACACCAGGATTTAAATAGGAGAAGAGGGTGCAAAGAGTAGCATGATCTTTGAATCCTGAAGAAAAAGAGCCTAGCAGGCAATGTAGCACTTAACCAGAATACAATATGATGTTAAAAGCTACCACTGTGTTTCCCCCCCTCTTTGTGTGTTTTTAAGCTAAATCTGCCAGCCCTGCTCCATTTCCAAAACACTCCTGCAGCCCCATGAATCCATCTTTCACAGCTCATTTAACTTCAACATTTGTTTACAAATCCTTGAAAAACAACCAACACCAACTCAGATCTGACAGAGATGGAGGCTGCATGGCAAAAGCATTAAGTGCTGGAGAATAAAAACCGCATGTCCTGCCTGTAGCCCAGACTACCAATGAGATAAAGTTGGAGCAGTGGCAGCAACAGATCCAGCCCGTTTCAAAGTCCCCTGAACCATGAGGTCTCGGCAGCAGTTCTGTTGTTCTGCTGCTCACCGTTCTATGAGAAGCATGCCAGCCTCGTAGGAAGAAAATGACAGCTTAGAATGCTGCAAAGCAAGTCGAAGGGATACGAACTTAGAAAGCAAAAGCCAATGCTGATGTTCAACAACAGTGGCAGGAAAGCAATCTTGCTGGTGACACCACCAGGGACACCAGTAAAGGCCAGAGGACGTAGAAGCCCAAAGACTCTGCCGGGAGGGCAAAAGGGGAGGGAGCAGGCCTGATGCAAGCCTGAGGGTCAGATTTTCCTTTACCTGTGCATTCTCCAGCTGGGCTTCCAAAGTGGTTTTGGCCAGTGCCAGTCCCTGCCTTTCCTCTGCCAGACGTGCCAGAGCCTCTTCCAAGTGCTGCTTCTCTTTCTGCCATAAAAGACAAGGTTATCTTTGAAAAAACTGAGGAAGCCTTCTCCCCATGGTGTTTCTCCCAAAGATACAACATTTCAAACTTCTGCCCATTTTGGAGCTCCAAAACTTCTGCTCCCGTACAATGAGTCTACATATTCACCTAGTTTGGCTCTCTTTCTTGTGGCACCAATTCTGCTCTTTTATTTACCCAGCTCCTCAAACCAAGTGAAGGCAGCCCTGTTTAGGGAAGCTTTTAATGTCTGACACACTATTATATTTTAATATTTTGTTGGAAGCTGCCCAGAGTGGCTGGGGAAACCCAGCCAGATGGGCGGGGTATAAATAATAATAATAATAATAATAATAATAATAATAATAAGTGGGCTTAGGGCCTCCCCACCCTCCCTGCATGCCCCACGAGGGCCAAGGGATTGCCCTCTGAACCCTGCTATTGCAGCTGCACGCAGAGCTGCCTGATGCCAAGTCATGCCATTGGTCCACCTAGCTTAGTACTGTTTACACGGGCCAGCAGAGGCTCTCCGGGGTCCCTGGCCCCACCTGGAGATGTCAGCAGAGATCGAGCTGAGGGTCATCTGCATGCAGAGCTACAGCCCTTCCCCATTTATCTTACTCACATCCTTTGAAACCCTCCCTTGACACCCCCTGCCCCAGCAGAAGTCAAGTGGGAGGGTGGGGATTAAAGGCACCACATATTTGGAATATTTTCTATGAGAAGCTTTCCTGGAGTCAGTGGTGATGTCATCTGAGTGATGGGCAGATTTTTCCATTTGCCCAGGCAGCCCAACATGATTAGGTAGTTTTAGAGCTTTTATGCCCTTTCTTGGTTATGGTCCGCTACTTTTGTTACTTTGCTTTCATTCTGTTTATTTTTGTAGGCATTTTTATTCTGCCTAATCCATGGTGTCCTTTGGGCAGCTCACAATTTAAAAATCAAATGAATTTATTATTACGGTCACAAACCAATTCCGGCTCACTTACAATATCAGGAAAAACATAAAACACAACAGGAATACATTGAATTGCCATTGGGTATAACAGAGACAATTCAGATATAGTGGCAGTTAAATATATATATTAAATCTTGATCACTAAAATATAACCTGAAATTGTCATTTAAAACCTTAATCACTTTGGTAGTACAGCTTGTTCCCTAAGTTTTATGGCAGTCGCACAGAATTTGGCCACCCTTAGTGTGATTCTAGATCCTTGTCCTCTGCCAGGAGTTTTAGACATTGAAGTTCGGACCCATTTGGAGATTTTTGTATAACAGGAGTGATAAATACCGAGCGTATATCCCCGTAGAAACAAAATCAAATAAATATACAATCCACAATACTTTAACAAACCAGGGAGTGATATTCAACTAAGTTTTACTCAGGGCAGACCCACTGAAATTAATGGGCCTAACTTAATTATATTCAGTGGGTCTACACTGAGTAAAAGGTGAATCTCACCCAGTGTGTGTGTGTGTGAAGGCAATAGCAGCACAAAGTTAATTTTAAAGTGTGTATCTTCAAGGGTGATTTTAGTTATTATGATTGTGTTGGCATGACTACTGTGTTCAACCTGACACTATTATGCAGAAGGGTGACTTCTGTACAGTATTTACAAAATAAAGCAAATAAAAAAGAAACCATCTTGTTCAGACTTCACCTTCCTCACTCTGCCCAGCCCCTTGTTACAAGGCCCACAAGCCATACTGGCTGGGACTGATGGGAGTTGTAGCTTGAAACATCTAGAGGCTCCAGACCGGCAAAGGTCACCCTAAACCTTTCCACTTGTGCCTTTGCTACAGCTGAGCATTCAAAGCCACAGGTTTCTTTTGGTTTCTGAACATGTTGGCTGTGGCTAAGCAGTGGATTTGGATGGTGGGCAGATTTTTTCATTTGCCCAAGCAGCCCAACATGATGACTAGGTAGTTTTAGTGTTTTTAGTGGGGTTTAGATAATAAAAAATATATCTGTTATAAAACAACTAATAAAAAGGAATAAAAAAAAACAAGCATCAGGTAAGGAGGGATGGGAAGTCAAGAAGAAACTTTGGATGTTAAAAAAATTGTATATGATGACAAATGCTTTGAAACATTTTTGGAGACTTAATAAATAGGCTATAAAAAAACCCACACATGCTGGCTGTGGGTTGTGCATCAATGCTCACCTCATAGCTCTTTATTACTTCCTCCCTTTTCCCTCCTTCTCCTCTCATCCTCTCCAGCTCCTGCTGGAGTTCTTTGCTTTGCTTCTCCAGCTCTGCAATGGCTCCTTCCAACTCCTGGCTCTGCTCCACCATCTTGGCCACTTGAACTTCTGCTGTCCTCTGCATCTTTTCGGCCGCAGCCTTGGCACTGGACAGGGAGCCCATTTCCTAGGAACACAACACATGACATGGGTCAGAAGACGGCAGCTCTGAGAAGACTCACCACACACAGACACACACACGGTGTATAGCATGTGCCTCCATTGGAAAGTCACACTGGCCTGTATCTGAAGAGATGGTCAACATTGGCATCTTGAACCTCAAAGTATGCGGCTTCATGTCCAGCTACCTTTACTTCACAGGGTTGTAAATGGAGACTGGAGGGGGCAGAATTGCTCTGGATTTAAAGTGGCAGAAGCCAAAGTCCTGTTTGCTGATGAATTTAGATGGTCTGACCAATTTGCTCAAAAAAGAGGCAACTTAAGCATTTGCGAGTGGGGAGGAGAGGATATGCTGGGTCATTACAAAGTAGAAATCAGGAAGCTGTTGGAACCCTCTCAGCAGGTTGCTGGCAGAGGCTCCATCTGTTGCCTGGTGGACTTTGTTGATGTATTTGCTTAACACATGGGCTTGGAGTTAGCAGATGGCCAAGGAGGGTGTCCTGAGCCTTTAAATGCAATTCCATCTTAACAAACACTTAAAAAACAAAAAGGAACAAACACTGTTATAGAAGATCCTCCACCAGCAGATTTGCATCAGCAGAAACTCAGACTAGGCAGATATGAACCAGGAGAGTCCATGCTTCCCACCTGGGATTCATCATTTGAACCATCTGCCATGGAGGAGGAGGAGACCATCGCATGACATATCTTAGAGAATCAACATCAAAGCAGGAATGCCATGAACAGGGAGAGGCAGTGAAGGAAGTGGCTTTGGGGCTCACACAGTCTGTCTTCTAAATACAGTGGTACCTCGGGTTAAGTGCTTAATTCGTTCCGGAGGTCCGTTCTTAACATGAAACTGTTCTTAACCTGAAGCACCACTTTAGCTAATGGGGCCTCCTGCTGCTGCCACCCGCCGGAGCACGATTTCTGTTCTCATCCTGAAACAAAGTTCTTAACCTGAAGCACTATTTCTGGGTTAGCGGAGTGTGTAACCTGAAGCATATGTAATCTGAGGTACTACAGTTTCTCTTTTCAACTCTGGTTTGCTGCAAGTCTACTAGGAAGAATATACCAGAGGGCAACAGCTTTGGACATCACTGGATCCCACAGTGTGGAAAGGCAGAATTTAACAGGAATGGTTCAATGGACAGCACTGAAACAGCTTCCCTGGCCATTCTCTCTAACCAAAAGCGCACAATGGGCACTGGGAATGGAGCTGGGGTTGAAGAACTGGGATTAATTGACAGGTATGATGGCTCTCCTTCCTTGGTTTTTTAGCAGAGGCTGGGTGGCCACCTGTCGTGGATGCTTTAGCTGAGATTCCTGCATCGCAGGGGGTTGGACTAGATGACCCTTGGGGTCCCTTCCAACTCTATGATTCTCTCTTATGATTCTCTCAGGTTAGAATAGACTCTGGATTCTTGCCAGCCTCTGATGCAAGGGCCTGTCCCACTGGCCATTTGACTCCTCCCTTCCCAGAACTGTTCCCATTGGCAGCCTGCCACTCCATCATCTAATACTTTCTAAGAGTTGCTACACAGATTAGCCTATTTTGCTTTTCTACTCCTCCTTCCTTTTCCCCGCTGTAACGTGCCTATCAGATTGAATGTCATTTTTTAAATTGCATGATTTGTTAGAAAGGCTTTAGCTAGCAGATAGCTAGCAAGATAGACAGATCAGGTGGGTCTGCCTCTGCTGTGGCTGCGCAGGTTTGTTCCAAGTTCTCACAAAGGAGAGCCGAGAGTTTTCTGCTCATTAGCAAACCCTCCAGAGAGGGGCCTGCCTTTCCTTTGGCCTCACACTGAAAGGACCTGCTGAGCCGCAGAACTCAGTGAATGCAATGCTGAGGTCTCTCATAACCCTCCAAGTGCTGGTCACACCCACGTTTAGGGACAGCTCGAGTGCAATTTCCAGCGCCATCAACCTGGCAGACAGGCTCTTGTCATGCGGGCAGCATGGCTTTGCAGCTCCCATGTGGTAGTGGGAGAGAGAGAAACGGGGGGAAAGAAGTAACTCTCAGAGGGGCTTTCGCAAGGTTCGTTGGACGTGCATTCTGCCATGTGGCTCCATACAAAGATGCCGGTGGCAGTTTTCTAGCCAGAGAAGGCAAGGGCCATTGGGAGAAGTTGGCACAGAGATGGTATTGGAAGCACCAGTCTTTCCAAACTCTGTCTTACTTTCTATCGAGCATTTTAAATTGGATTAATTGAAACAGAGCAGAGAAGGGAGAGGTGTGTGTGTGTGTGTGTGTGAGAGAGAGAGAGAGAGAGAGAGAGAGAGAGAGAGAGAGAGAGAGCTCTCCATCCCCAATGTCCTTTGGATGGGGAATGACTTTGGGCTGCTGCCTGCTCTCCCTAATGTTTATCAGCTCCTCGATGCCAATTCATCTGCCCCTTTCGGCTCCCCAGAGCTCCCCAGTAAAGAGCCATGCTATGAGAACCTATTCCAAGGATTTCTGCCCCCCCCCATGTTATTTAGAATCACGAGGCTGGAAGGAAGGGGGGAAGGGGGTGTACGAGTAAAAGCTGTTGAAGGCTGCCCAAAGCTGTGTGACCGGCACTTAGTCACCAACCGCCACAGGTCTCCAACGACCTTGGCAGCTATGCAAAGGTTACACTTTCGCTCAAATGAGCTGCCCTTTAACCAGTTCTCCCATGCATTGCGGTACAAAATGTTTTTAAGAGGGATTTGTCCCACTGCCACCATCCTGTCACCCTCAGACCAAACTTTGCTAAAGGAATCCCATTATGCACATGAAAGTGAAAGCTGAGGGAGATTATGTTGTTCATAGCTCAAGACTGAATGGCGGGGATGTGGGGATGTAATATTTCAAATTAATACTTTGCAACTGTGCATTAACCAACTCCTCACTGATCACTCTCAATATCTGCTGCTTATTACAGGGTTTAAAACAAGAAATAGTTTCTAGCCCAATGGTTGCCATTAATTTGATTGGAATTAATTTTAGAATGAAATGATTTTAGAATGTTTTATCGTTTTACTGTTGTTAGCCGCTCTGAGCCCGGCTTCGGCTGGGGAGGGCGGGATATAAATAAAATTTATTATTATTTATTATATTATTAAATCCATAGAGATGATCTAGTCTTCAACCAATATCTCTACCCAAGCTTTCCATTTAAAAAAAAACTGTACAAACAAAAAAAGAATATGAGGGAAATATGGGATAAGGAGGAAAATGCAGCACAGCAGAGACCTGTGCTAAAAACCAGGAGAGGTACGGTAATAGCTGAATACAGAATCATTGTTAAAAGGGCACCTCTCTCAAACAGTCTTCCTTGCAGTAGCCTCAATGGAGCAGGATAGGCCTCATTCTGAGGACGTCCCATAGTTCTGGCACAAAGACATGTCTCGTGTGCCCACCCACAGGACCTCAGGTGGTGGAAGAAAGAGAAGGAAGGGCCTCTGGTGTCCATTGAAGAGTCCAGGTAGAATATTTGTGGGTGGAGACAGTCCCAGGATTGGAACCAATAAAGATGTTACAGAACTGGAGGATTATCTTGCTGCAGCTAATACTCTGGCAGCTGCCATTTCAGTCTTACGTTTCACATTAGACAGAGAAGACACCTCCTGCTCTATATATCAAAGGACTGCAGGATTTTATACAGTGGTGCCCCGCAAGACGAAATTAATTCGTTCTGCAATTTTTGTCGTCTAGCGAATTTTTCGTCTTGCGAAGCACGAAATCCCATAGGAATGCATTGAAAATCAATTAATGCGTTCCTATGGTCAAAAAAAGTCCAAACAAAGCCAAATTTGGTACAACAACAGTTTATTAACTGCTCTTTAAAGTCACACATACTGTAAAGAGCAGTTCAAAAATTGAAGGGAAAATAAATTAACTTTATAAACAAAACATGTCTTTGTTTTTAGACAAAGAAAACAAAGTCGCAAGACGTTTTCGTCTTGCGAAGCAAGCCCATAGGGGAAATTCGTCTTGCGAGGCAAATCGAAAACGGAAAAACCTTTCGTCTAGCGAGTTTTTTGTCTTGCGAGGCATTCGTCTTGCGAGGTACCACTGTAATGCTCTCTTTTTCCAAATGTACCACCTATTTCAATACATGGACTCTACTTGAAAGATCTGGTCAGTGTATATGGAAACCGCCTCCTAAGCATCCCAACAGCCTCAATCTGGTCTGTGCACCTGCCTCATCTCCCACAGCTGGAAGAAATGTGGGCTGAACGAGGTAACTGCTAGGTGGATTTGTAGCTGGTTGATTGAGTACTCATTGATGGTTCCTCATCATCCCAGGGTTCTGTCCTGGGCCCGTTGTAGTTCAATGTCTATAAAAATGGGCCAACATAAAGGAGTTCCTAAGAAGGATAGAGTTTGTGGCTGAAACTCTGTGTCAGTCAAAGACATAACTCGTGTACTCCTTTAATGCCCATTTTATAACGATCTTAGAAATAATTACATCCACCCATTGTTAAGATCGCAGAAGGGAGGTACGTCTCTTGCAAAGACTTGATTTTTGTTGTCTGATGTAGAGAAGTATATATCCTTTAGAACAATTTTTTCCCAAGGCTTTACAAATTCGTGTAATAAAACTTAAATGAGGAATAGGAAATCATTTATCCTCTAAAGGTCGGGGAGTAGAAATGTAAGCCACTATAAGCAGCAGTATTCTTCTTCTTATTTTTATGTGTGTAATGTAAACACAATAAACTGAACTGAATGTCTTTATGACTTGGATGAAGGAATTGAGGGGATGCTCATCAAATCTGCAGATGACACCAAACTGGGAGGGTGCCCTGGGATGCGAGTGGAAGTCACGTGCCAGCAGCACAACAGCGGGAGGCGCCATTAGCGAAAGTGCGCCTGATGTTACGAGAACGGACCTCCGGAACAAATTAAGTTCGTAACCGGAGGTACCACTGTAGAAGTAACTCTATTAAATAACTTCCAGGACAACAATGCAAATGTACACAACAAGGAACTCATGAGTCACTTACTCTCAGCAGTTAGAAACATCATAAGTAGACCCT